GCCAACTGCATCCCGCTCATCCTCAAGTTCTTCAACCAGAACATCATGTCCTACATCACTGCCAAGAACAGGTAGGGCAGGGGGGCTGCTCCTCTGCATCCCTGTGGGCTGTGGGGAGGCTTCCTCTTCCTCTTCCTCTTCCTCTGCTTCCTCTTCCCTCTGGAGTTGCTCCCTGGGCGCAGGCACAGCGGGCAGTGCCCACCACAGCTAGTCTCTGGTGGGTGGGAGGTGGGGTCTGCGTTGCCCCCCAGGCCAGGGGGGTCTGGGAGGGATCAGTGGGGGCTCTGGGGGATCAGCAGGACCCCCCCTCTCCTTCCTGCAGCATCTCTGTCCTGGACTATCCCTACTGTGTGGTGCACGAGCTGCCAGAGCTGACGGCTGAGAGCCTGGTGAGTCCAGCTGTGCCAGTCCTGGGGGGCTCCCCCACCCAGCTCTGGCACCCTCAGCACTCCTGTGCCCCTGGGGGCTTTGGGGAGGATGGCAGATCCCTGCTTGGGGTCAGTTTTGGGCCCCTCGGGATGAGAAGGACATTGAGGGGCTGGAGCGTGTCCAGGGAAGGGAAGGGAGCTGGGAAGGGGCTGGAGCAGCAGGAGGGGCTGAGGGAGCTGGGGAGCTGAGAAAAGGAGGCTCAGGGGGGACCTTCTGGCTCTGCAACTCCCTGACAGGAGGGGGGAGCCAGGGTGGGTCGGGCTCTGCTCCCAGGGAACAGGGACAGGAGGAGAGGGAACGGCCTCAGGCTGTGCCAGGGGAGGGGCAGGTTGGACATGAAGAGGGATTTTTTCCTGGAAAGGGTGTTCAGGCACTGGAAGGGGCTGCCCAGGGGGTTGGTGGAATCTCCATCCCTGGAGGTGCCCAAAAATCCTGCGGATGTGGCATTTGGGGTCATGGTCAGGGGTGGCCTTGGCAGTGCTGGGGGATGGTTGGACTTGGTGGTCTGGGAGGGCTTTTCCAACCTTACCAATTTCATGACTGGATCATTCCATGCCTGAATACTCTTTGGACAAGCCCCCCACAGCCTTTGCTCATCCCTGCTCCCTTCCCTGTCCTGACCCTGCCTGTCCTCCCCGCAGGAGGCCGGAGACAACAACCAGTTCTGCTGGAGGAACCTCTTCTCCTGCATCAACCTCCTGCGCATCCTGAACAAACTGACCAAGTGGAAGCATTCCCGCACCATGGTGAGGGCTGGGAACGCTCTGCAGCTCAGCCTGGCTGCACTGGGATCTCACTGGGGGCTTGGAACACCTGGGGGCAACCCAGCCCTCGGTGGGGAGGGAGAGGGGAGCAAGGGGGGATGGAAAGGGGAGAGGAAGCTGAGGGGGGGGTTGACACAGGACCCCATCCCATCCATCCCATCCCACCCACTCCACTCCATCCTGTCTCACCCCACCCATCCCACACTCTTCACCCCGTCCCATCCCACCCCACCCCTGTCCTCCATCCACCCCATCCCACCCCATCCCTGTCTCATCCCATCCCACCCCACCCCATCCATCCCATCCCACCCCTGTCCCACCCCATTCCACCCCATCACCCAATCCCATTCCACCCTCTCGTCCCCCCATCTCATCCCCACCCCATCCTACCCTGTCCCATCCCACCCCACCCCATCCCACTCCACCCCATTCATCTCCTCCATCCCACCTTCCTGTCCCATCCATCCTATCCCTGTCCTCCATCCCACCCCCCATCATCCACCCATCCATCCCACCCCATCCTTCCCATCCCATCCCATCCCATCCCATCCCATCCCATCCCATCCCATCCCATCCATCCCATCCCATCCCATCCACATCCCATCCCACGCTATCCCATTCATTCCACCCTGTCCCACCCCATCCCCATCCCATCCCACCCCATCCCTGTCCCATCCCATCTATCCCTGTCCCACTCCATCCCACCCCATCTACTCCATCCCATTCCACCCTGTCCCACCCCATCCATCCCATTCCACCCCATCCTAATCCCCCATCCCCCGTGTCCCGTGGCAGATGCTGGTGGTGTTCAAGTCGGCTCCGATCCTGAAGCGGGCGCTGAAGGTGAAGCAGGCCATGCTGCAGCTCTACGTGCTCAAGCTGCTCAAGGTGCAGACCAAGTACCTGGGGCGCCAGTGGAGGAAGAGCAACATGAAGACCATGTCAGCCATCTACCAGAAGGTTCGGCACCGCCTCAACGACGACTGGGCCTACGGCAACGGTACCTCCCGGCATTCCCATGGCATTCCCATGGCATTCCCATGGCATTCCCACGGCATTCCCATGGCATTCCCGATGCCTTCCCGCTCGGGGGGCTCTTGCACGTGGGGCGGGGTGACCTTGGCTGGCTGACCTTGACCAGTTGACCTTGACCAGGTGCCCACCAAGCTGCTCTTCCCAGTTCTTTCCCAGCCCTTCCTACCCCTTCCCAGCTCAGTCAGACCCAGCCCAGCTGAGCCAGACCCAATCCAGAGGTCTGGGATGCAGGAGGGATTTCGGGTGGAGGCTTTGCAGGGCTCAAGGGCTGTGCCAGGTCCCTTAGGCTGAAAACCTTGGCTTTTGCCCTAAATCAGGCTGGAACAGCAGGTTCAGTGCCCCCCTCACCCCCCCATCAGGATTTGGGAGCCGGGATGAGGGGACATCCCAGTTTTTCGGGACTCATTTTTGGCCCCAGGGGTCCGAACCAGCGGCGTCTCCTGTTGGAGATGCTCTGGAGCTGCTGCTCCCGCCCTGGCCAGGACCTACAACCCCCTTTTCCCTGTGCCCTGAGCTGTTTGCTCTCTCTCCTGCCCAGACCTGGACGCCCGTCCCTGGGACTTCCAGGCCGAGGAGTGTGCCCTGCGCGCCAGCATCGAGCGCTTCAACTCGCGGCGCTACGACCGCGGCCACGGCAACCCCGAGTTCCTGCCAGTGGACAACTGCCTGCAGAGCGTGCTGGGCCAGAGGGTCGACCTGCCCGAGGACTTCCAGGTCAACTACGACCTGTGGCTGGAGAGGGAGGTGTTCTCCAGGCCCATCTCCTGGGAGGAGCTGCTGCAGTGACGGGACACACACACACACACACAGGGGGTGGGGACGGGGCAGCTCTGCAGGGGGGGTGTCTGGAGATTTTGGTGATGGGAGGGTGGTTGGGGAGAGAGGGTGGGGTTGGGGGGGTCCTTGCTGAGGTGCCATCCTGCCCCTGTGCCCTGTTACAGCTCATCCCAGAGCTGAGGGGAGGAGGGGGTTGGTGTGGTGCCCTGGGGGGGTCTATAGATCCAGGGATGTGCCCCCCTGGGATCTCCCCAGCCCTGGGTGGGATCTGCCCACCCCTGGGTGGATTTACCCCCCTCTGGGTTTGTGCCCCCCCCCCCGAGGTTGCTGTCAGGGGCACCTGCCCCTCCCCAGTGCCCCCTCCATCCCAAAAAAAGGGGGGCAGGTGGCAGTGTGGGAGGGGGTCCCTTGGGTGGGACAACAGGCTGGCCCTGCCCAGCCCCTGCTGGGGGGCTCGAGGGGTTTAGGGGGGTCTCCCCTCACCCCCAGGGGGGGATGAGCTGTATATAAATTATATATATTTGGTGATATCTCTGCCCTGAGTGTGCCCAGGCTCTGTCTGTGCCCCCCACCCCGAGCTGGGAGGGGGGGTCCTCATCTCCCCCCATCACCCCTCCCGACCCACAGGGGTCCTGATCCGTCCCCAGAAGGTTCAATGTTCCCCCCTCTTGTGGGACGAGCTCAGGGCTGAGCCTGTGGAGCTCCAGGGGTGAATCCAACCCTGATGGTCACAGCAAACCCCATTCCCAGAGCCCACCCCAGATCCAGGTGTGAATTTCCCCCCCCACCCCTGCTGGACTTCATAGGCAGTGCCAGAGCCGTAAATAACTTATTAAAAATGTGGTTTATTGCTAAGAAATGAAGAACCAAATCCCCCCTGCCAGGAGAGGGGGGGGTGAGATGTGGAGGGGGGGAGCACCAGGCTGTGCCAGGTTTGGGCTGAAAACCCTGGGGATTGGCCCAGATTGGGCTGGAGCAGCAGGTTTGGTGCCTCCCCAGGAGGGGGTCCAGGTGCCCCACCAGGGTGTGTGTCCCCCCCTCCCCCAGTCAGGATGGGACAGGGTGACATCACAGTTTTGGGGGGTGTTTTTGGTTCTTGGAGGGGCTTGGGGTGACTCCCCCCAGGACCCCCAGAGAAAATGAAATGAGTTGGATGCCATGAGGTGACTCCCCCCATTCCCCCCCCCAGGACTGCTCATACAGGCACCACCACTCAGACCCCCCCCAAAATGGGGAACCTCACCCAGATTGACCAGTTGTGCCCCCAACACTTCCACTTGGGGGGGGGGGGTCCCACCTGGGGGGATTAAAGCACCTCCCACCTCATCCCTACAAGGGGTAACAGGTGACACCCCCCCTCCAAGGGAAACAGGCTTCAATTTGGAATCTTTACCCCCTCAGCCCCCACCCCACGGATTTATTGCCCATCCCGGGGGGCTCCAAGTGCTCCAGAACTGGGGCTGTGCCAGGGCTTGTCCTGGGGGCTTATTTCCCCCTTAAAATGGGGAACAGAAAGGACTGGGGGGAGGCTTTGGGGGCTCCTTGAACACAGCTCTGCCCCCAGTAAACCCCCCCTGAGCACCAGTAGCTGTCCCAGTCCAGGGAGGGCCTTCCCAGTATGGGACTGGGAGTGGAAGAGCCCAATTTCTGCCAGTGCTGGTTGCACTGGGAGGGGGGGTGAGCAGCCAAATTCCAGCTGGGGAGGGCAGAGGAACCCCCAAACACCCCATGTCCCCTGCTGGGAGGGGAGGGCTGCAAACCACCGGGAATCTCCATCAAACCCCCTCCACCAAAGGTGCTTGGGGGGGCTCAGGGAGCCGCTTTTGGGGTCCTGAGCTGCCAGTGCCAGCCTGGGGGGTGGTGGGAGGGGGTGTGTGTGACCCTCTTCCCTCCCCACAGCCCCCCTTTACCCCCTCCCCAGTGCAGCAGCGTCGTGCTGGATTCAGGAAAACTCCTGGAGATCCTGGAGATCGGGGTGTGTGTGGGGTGGGGGGGAGGTGATCCCACCGCCCCGCTCCCAAATCCTGGTGCCGGGGATGGGGGGAAGGAGGATCAGGTGGCCCAGCCCAGCAGGTTCCCGGCCCCCTCTTTGCTCTTCATCCTCAGCGGCATCAGCGGGGGCGCTTTGTAATCGTGCTGGGGGGTGGGGGGCTCGAAGGGGTGGGAGGCCAGGCCCGGGGGGGCAGCCCGTGCAGGGAGTAGAGGCCGCTGATGGCGGGGGGGCGCCGGGGGAGGCGGGAAGGGCCACGAAGCCGTTGCCGTGGGCGGGGGGATACGGGGACAGGCAGGGGGACGGCAGGGGCTCGGCGGGCAGGAGCCCCAGGGGGCTCCCAGGGCTCGGCCACAGGTTGTTCTGCAGCTGAAAAAACCAAAATAAATAAATAATAATAATAATAAACAAACCCAAAGTGAAATTGTGGGGGGTGGGGGGGCAAAGGGAGGTGAGGGTGGGGATGACACCCCACCCTCTCCCCTCAGATCCCACTCGTTCTGTCTTTAGTCCCTCTTAGCTCTCCTTCAGATCGCACTCACTCCCTCTCACATCCCCCCCTCCCACCTCGGATCCCCCTAATCTGCCCTTTGGATCCCTCTTATCCCACCTTGGGCCTCCCTCATTTCCCTTTTCAGACCCCCCCTTGGCCCCCCCATCGGATCCCCCTCAGGTCTCCCCCAGCTCCCCTTTGGATCCTCCTCATTCCCACCCACCTCAGATCCCTCCCACTCCCCCCTCAGATCCCCCAAGCCCCGTTGGATCCTCGTTTTTCCCCCTGGGATCCCCCTCATTGTCCCCTCTGGGATCCCCCTCAGACCCCCCCCAACCCCCCTCGCCTTTTCTCTGTTTTAAGGCCCTGCAGGGGGGAACGAACCTGTTGTTTCCACCCCGGGACAGTTTGGCCTCAGGGATGTGGGTGAAGCCGAATTTTCAATTATTTTTATGCTTTTCAGTATTTGGGGAGGGCGGTTCTGTAGAAAAGGGAGGGGGGGAGCAGGCAGGAAGCCCTGATGGGTCTCTTAAGGTGGGGGAACACCCCAAAACCTGCCCCAAAAGGGCACAACCCCACGGGAGATGGAGTGGGACACAGAGCAGCTTCTTTCCTGCGTGTGGAAAAAAATGCTCTTTTCCCTCTTTTCCATCCAGGGCCACCCTTTTCCCGAGGGTGGAGGGAACCGCGGGGTTCGTGGGGGAGAAAGGGAGGGAATGGGCGATGTGGAACACCCCCGGTTCGGGGGGACGAGCTCCTTCCCCCCGGGAATGGGGGACATCGCTCACCTCCTGCATTTTCCCGTAACGTTCCCGTTTCCGCCACTTGGCCCGACGGTTCTGGAACCAGACCTGGGGATGGAGGAAGGGGGGAGTTAATGAGGAGTGGGGACCCTCCCCCTGCTGCCCTCAGCCTCTCTGCCGAGATCCACCCTCCTTCCCGCACGGAAAATGCCCGGACGCGGTGCCCCCTCCTCCCGGAGAGCCGAGCTGAGCGCAGGGACCCTGCCCGTGCTCGAGTCCCCAGCGGCCTTTTCCGCTACAGACAGTGGGAATGGCTCTTATCCCGCCTGGAAAAACATCGGTCCCGCTCCGTGAGTGGCCCTTTCCCCTCCCTGGCGCTTCGGAGCCTCGTTTATCCCACATTTTGCTGCGGGACGAGGCGGTTTTGGGGTCCTGGTGTCCCTCTGTACCGGGGTGGGGGGATCTCTGGTGCTCCCTGGGGCGGGAGCGGCTCCAGCGGCGATTCCCGGGGAGGAGGAAAGAGGAGATCGGGATACTTGGCTCGGGCCTCCTGTGTTACAGGTGATTTCCTCCAAATCCACCCCAAATCCAGGCCCCGGTGGGCGCTGGGTGGGTTCAGGCTCCGGGGGGCACATCCTGAGCCTTGTCCTCGCTCCCGCCCCTGGGAAGGGCAGTTCCAGCTCCCGGTGGGAGCTCACTGCCTTCATTCCCTCCCTTCTGGGAGTGCTCCAGACTCCTCTTCCCACCTGGAGCCACAACTCCCCCCCAGAGACACTTCTGGAAGCAGCTCCCGGCGGGTGCGATGCCGGTGGAGCCCAGGATAAGGGTCGGGCTCATCCTGCTCCACATCCCAGGATGTGCCACCCCCAGCCCCGCCCGTGCCGAGCTCCCGGGATCCCTCCTGGGCTGGGGAGGGGGCTGGGAATGACGGATTCTGGGGGGGAGGATGCTCCGGGAGCAGGTTGGCAGCGACCTCCCAGATTTCGGCTTCTTCCCACCCCTGGGGTGCTGGAGAGAGGGGAAAAGGGGCAGAGTTTTTAGAGGCAAACAGCGCCCACATCCCAGCGGCGGGTGACGGGCACACGGAGCAGGATTCCCCATCTGGGATTGAACATAATCCTGGGAAAACCAGCTTCCACCTCGGCATGGAGGAGGGGAAAAACACCTCCCAGCCCTGCCTGGCAGCGGCCGGGGTGTCCATTCCCAGCCCTCTGGAGCCAGAGATCCGTTCCTTACCTGCACCCGCGCCTCCGTCAGGTCCGTCCGCAGCGCCAGCTGCTCCCGCGCGTAGACATCGGGATAATGCGTCTTCTGGAAAACCTTCTCCAGCTCCTCCAGCTGGAACGAGCTGAAGGTCGTCCTGTTCCTCCGCTTCTTGCTCTTGCTCTTGCCCAGGGGCTCGGGGAGCTCGGGGACCCCGCGGTCCCTCAGGGCCCCCAGGGGCGCTGCCAGCGGGCACCCCAAATCCCCCGGGGCTCTGTGGGGGGCTCGGCAGGCTCCGGGAAGCGTCTGGAAGCCACTTTTGCAGCCCTTCTCACCTGGGAGGGGGAGATGTCAGTGAGGACACAGCCCCATCCCATCCCTTATCCCGAGGGGTTGGGAGACGGCTCCGAGAGAAAGGACTCGCAGCGGGGCAAATCCATCAGTGGGGAGGGCAAAATCCCGCTCGAGGCGTGGGAGATGAGGGCAGGAAAAGCCCCCCGATGGGGTGGGAAAACCTTGGATGGAGCAGCGGGGGGCTCAGGGACCCACTGGCAGAAAAGCCCCGAGGGGTGGGAAAAGCCTGGATGGGGCAGCGGGGGGCTCAGGGACCCGCTGGGGTGGGGGTAGAGGAGGGGGGCACGGGGTTGTCTTGCAGACGGGGCTTAACTCCCCCGTTCCTCTCCTCCCGTTCCCTTCCCCCCCAGGTCAGAGCCGAAGGACCCCAGCTCTGGGGGTATCGAGCCCCCCCAAAACTCTTGGAAAGGTGTAAAAAACACGCTCCCCCCCTTTTTTTTTTCTTTTTCTTTTTTTTTTTTTTTTCTGGAGAACTTCCCTTCCCCTGGGATGAGGGCAGGAAATTTGGGGGCTCTCCCCTTCCCCTCTGTGCTGGTCGATGGGAAGGGATCGAGGCTCGGGGGTCGCCCCTATCCCCCCGCGAGGGTTGTTTGTCCCCACGTGGGGACACACAGAGCTCGGCGACTCCGAGGGGGCTGTTGGGATCCCGAGGAGCCGAGCCGGGAAAGGGGGAGCTGAGGGGGGAATTAGGGGATGGGGGGAATGGTTTGGGGTCCCCCAGCAGTCGAGGGGACACAGGGAAGGAGACAACCTAAAAATGTTAGGTTTACCCACATCCCACCCCAATCCCCAGCTCCAGGGATTTGGGGTTCCTGGGGGAGCGGATCACTGGCCCCCCTCGGAGGGGCAGGATCAGGAGAATGCCTCCTTTGGAATGGATCCTCCTTCCCAGCCCTTTAACCACCATCCCAAAGGAGCGGGGGAATGGGGTCCCCAAAACCCCCCAAACGAGCCTCTGCACCTCCCAAACCAGCCCCTGAACCCCCCGAACCAGCTCCCGCCGCGGCCTTTTCCGGCCTTTCGGTTTTGATTTTTGGTTGTTTCCTAATTAAGGCAATTTGGGGGTTACGGCGCAGCCGAGCCCGGGTGCAGCTGCTTTGGATTAATGGGTAAATGGAATCTGGGGGAGGTTTGGTGGGACGGTTGTTCCCCGTTCCCCTCCCCGGTACCGACCTGTCCCCGCTCCCGGTCGCGGATAACGGCGAAGGGATGACGCCAAATTCCCGTTTCGGCCTCCGAAGGGCTCGGCCGGAGGGTTTTAGTGATAAAAAACAAGCCCCACTAAAGAGCAGAGCGAAGGCGAAACCCCCCCAGTATCACCAAAATCAGGGAAAATGCGACCAAAATAAACGCCCACTGCACAAAGCATCGAGTTTGGGTTGTTTTTCCCTCCTTTCCAGAGGCAACGTGGAGCGTTTCCGAGCGGGTTTTGGCACTGGGGACAAATAAATAAAATGCCCAGAAAGAAGGAAAAGGCAGGGAGGATCGGGATCCAGGCACGCAGCTCAATAAACACCGAGACAGGGGGGACAAAAGATGGGAAAAAGGGAAGGCAGAGATATTCCCCCTCCCCTCTCCTTCCTAAACTGACACCCCCCGAAAGATTCGGCGGCGCTGGGGGAAGGGGCAGCTGGGGAACAGCTGCACAATTCCTGGGATAGCGGGAGGGGAAAGGAGAGCTCGAAGGGATCATTAGCGAAGGGATGGAGGCACGGAAAGGGCTCCAGGGAACGGCAGCAGGTAAGCGCTGCGGGATCATCCCGGCATCCCCAGCCCGCTGTTCCCGGGGTGTTCTCTACCTGTTCCCCCCCGAAGGGAGGGGGGGCTTTGCTGGGTCCCACCTGGTTCCCATTTCCCCCCGCGCCGCTGCCTTTTGCTTCTCATATTAAAGCGAAACGGGGGATAAAAGAACCCGGGGTTCTCCGAGGAGACCCCGACGGGCCTGGCCGGGTCGGTGCGGGGAGAAGGGGATGAAGCCGGTCCTGCCCGAGCCTGGAGAGGGGAGCGGAGCTCCAGGAACCCCGAGCCGAGGGGAACCGGGAGCTCTGGATCTCCGGAGCCGGGTACCCGGGGGGAGCCCGGAGATAGCAGACACCGGGAAACTGGGATTGCTGGAACCCCGGGGAACTGGGAGCGTTGGAGTCTCGCACCCGGCGGACCAGTGCCCCGGTCCGCCCACCCCCGACCCCAGAGCCCCCCCGGCTGCTGCCTCCGGTCTTGCCCGGGGCGTTCCGCGGACGGGGCGGCTTTCCGGTCTCCTCCGGGGAACGGGGCCGTTCTCTGCCCCCGGTAACGGGCACCGACCCCGCTAAGGGGCTCTGTCCCCGCCGCTCCCCGCCCGGGCCGGTCCTGCCGTCGCAGCGGGGCCGGGTCTCTCCCGCCGCCTCTTCCCCCCTCGTTTCGGCAGAATGGGAACCATCCCGGACCCCGCGCTCTGTGTCGCGACACAGTCCCGGCCGCCGACACTCGGCGACACCGGCGCGGCCTTTGCCGGCTCCGGTTCCCGTCGGGGGGATGCCCTGGCGGTCCCCGATGGGGCCATGTCGCGACAGCGGCCACCTCACTGAAGCCGCGGGGGAGAATGTGGGCGATAGGACCCTCGGGGGGGACGGGGGGGTCCCGGCAGAGCCCGCGGGGGGGGCAGAGAGGGCGAAGAGAAGCAGAGAAGGGGCCAGGAGGGGCTCGGCGGCCGCGCCCTCCCCCCATCACCCGGCGCTCCCCCGGTACCTGCGGGTACCCCGGGCGGGTACGGGGGCTTCCCATGGACGGCCACGGCAGGGGGGCCCGCGCTGGAGACCCCGGGTATCGGGGCTGAGCCCGGGCCGGCGGGCAGCGGGCGGGGCGGGGGCTGAGCGGCGGCGGCCGCCGGGGGCCCAGTGGGCCCAGGGCGAAGGCCGTGGGAGGCCGCGGGACCCCAGGGGAACCCCCGGGCCGGCGAGGCGGGGGGAAGGCCGGGCAGCCCGGAGCCTCCATGGCGCAGGTTGGAGGGGCCGGGGATGGGCGGCGGGAGCGGATTTTGTGCAAGGGACCGGGAGGAGGGGGACGTTTTTGGGGGGTGGAGTGGGGGTGATGGGGAGGAGGGAGGGATCGCCCGGCAGCCCCCAGCCCAGACACCCCCACCCACCGCACCCCCCACTCCACAGTCACGTGCGTCGTCCCAAGCGCTTCGTTAACCCTCTAATCCCAAATCCAACCCCCCCTCCAACCCGGGGGCTCTTTCCCGAGTGGGTCAGACCCTCCATCCTCGGGGCAGTGGCCGCGGGAGGAGCTCTGCTCCCCCCTCCCAGTGCTCCCAGTGTCTCCAAGCCACAGGAAGTGCCCAGGGCCCTTCCTTGACTTAAAACTCCATCCCTGTCCGCTGAGAGCTGCGAGAAATCCCAGGCACGGGGAGAAACTTCCATTCTTCCAACGTCCTCTGGATTATTTTCCCCTTCCCAGGGTCTACTGGGGCAAGTTGGTTCAGGGATGATTGTGAACCCGGGACGTGGAATCCAGATCGGGAATACGGGATTGAGGGATGGTGGTCACCCTGGGACAAGGAATCCAGGCAAAATCACCACCCTGGGACACAGGATCCAGGGATGACAGTGATCCTGGGACACAGAAGCCCTTGGAGCAGGAGCTGGGAGCTGCTGGGCTGGGTGCTGGTTGCTCCAAGCACAGAGGAGGTCCCATCCTGCTTCCCACGTGTCCCTGCCGTTGCTCCCACGCCCCAGGATTTGGATCCTCTCATCCCAGGATCCTGACTTTGGCTTTGGCAGTGGGGACAGAGCAGGTCAGAGCTCACCAGGACTTTTTCCCTTCCCATTTTTACTCCTCTGCTCCCCAGGACTGAGGGTTTGCCTTGTTTGGGGTGAGGGGATGCAGTTTGGGGGGGGGGAGTTTTTGCACAAAACAAAGGGGGCAGATTTGGCATTCAAAGCCTCGGAGAGGGGATTAAACAAAAGGGCCGGGAGAACTGAGCAGAAATCTTGGCCCGGGGGTGTGTGTGTGAAGTTTTACCCTCCCTTTGCCGTTTTCCCCCGGCCACAACAATTTTCGCTGCTCCTTGGGGGTCATTCCTCGCTCCAGCTCCAGGGAAAAACGGCCCTGCAGGTCTAGGGGGGCTGCAGGGCAGGGGATGAGCTGGGTGGGAGCAGCCAAAAGAGGCGGGGAAGGAGCCAGGAGAAGGAGCCAGCAGATCCCAGATGAGTGTTGGGATAACACCGGCCATAAATAACGTTATCACTTTTATTGGTGTTGGTGCTGCCGGGGCAGGACCTTTATCCAGGCACCGGAAAAAAACCCTGGAACGATGAGACAATCCCATTTCAAAGAGTTCATGGCATAAATATAATGTCAGCCCCTCTGCCTGGGCTGAGGGTGGGGTGGTGTTTGGGGGAAATTGGTGGAGCAGCAGGAGAGATGGATTTGGGGTGTAAATCACAGCTGGATTTTCCAGCCCCTGCTCAGGGAGAGGCAAATCGTGGCTGGTTGCTCCAAATTATTCTTCTGGAGGCCTTTGAGGTGCTGGTTCTGCACTGGGAGGGGGTTTGAGAGGGCAGTGCCCCCTCCTCACCCACCCTGGGCATTCCCTGATGGTGGAAATTCCCCAGCTGGAGCTGCCAGGACTTTTCCAGTTTTCCACTGCCCTCAGCTCCCTGTGTGCTGGAAACTGTGGTTAAATTAAGACTGGGAGGCCTCTGGCACGGCACAGATCATTGAATATCCTGAAACACAACTCCTGGAAAGGCTGCTCAGCTTTGACTCCTGGGTTTGTCACTGGTGTTGAGGGGGATTTTGGAGCAGGACGAGTCTCCCCACCTGGGGCAGGGCTGTGGAGCAGGACAGGCTTTGGAAAGGGATCCCTGGGATCCTCCTGGGCAGGTGGAGAGGCCTCAGGCAGGTGGGGTTTGGGGGGTTTGGAGCTGAAGGCAGCGTGAGGTTGGTGAGATTTTAGAGGGAAGGGGTGTGTGGTGTCTGTTCCTGGAGCTGCCAAGGAATTTGGTCCCTTCAGTGGACAGGATTCCAGGGATCTTCTGGACCTGCCACCAATCCCTCTGCTCTGGGATTTCCTACCTGTGGAGCCAGGCCAGGGGGTCTCATCCTCCTGGATTTAGGGGTCTCATCCTCCTGGATTTAGGAGGAGCTCATTTACCACTGACCAGCTTTTTTTTTTGGGCACAGGATGATCCCCCACCCGTTCCTTGGCCGAAAAGCTTCCAGGGAAACTTCTCCCAACATCCCAGTGCCCGACTCCGACATCTCCACAGGCGGAAGAGCTGCTGGGTCAGCTCTTGGATCGGAATGACCTTTTGTGGCCCAGTTTTAATTGGATTTACCACCAAATCCAATTAAAGGCGGCGTCAGCAGAGCCACCAAGTGCAGCAGGAGGACTCCAGAGGGATCCTCTGAGGGAAAACTCTCCCTGCTTTCGGTTTCTCTCTTCTTGTTGAGAGGAGGATTTTTTTTCTCTCTCTCTCTCTTTGCATCCCATTGATTTATTTTTTTTCCCGACCGGAGCTGCAGCTCCTCCGTTGGGATCACGGGGTGTCCTGGAGCTCTGCAGGGTGGTAGAGATCTGTGGTTTGTAGGAACATCCCCTGAGGCTTTCCCAGCATGATCCAGAGCCTTGGGAATGCTGGGGAGGGGCTGGAGCAGTGCCTGATGCGCAGGGAATGGGCTTCTCCTTCCCTAGGGATGCGTTTTCCCTCCCAGCCCCAGGGTTGGGAGATGGAGATGACCACCAGCATCATCATCCTGGTCCGATTCCACCCCCTGGGCTTTTCCTCCAGGAGGGTGGGGTTTATTATTTTATTTCATTATTTTTTTTTAAGGATTTTTAACAGCTTTGGGAAGAAATCCCATCCCTGGAAGCCAGTGGAGGAAAAGCTGTGGATTCCTCTGGAGAGCAGGGGGGGCATCTCAGCTCCACGTGAGCTCCAGGGGACAAGGGACAGTCCTGGGGACAACTGTCCTGGTGGCATTTGGGCTCCCACGGTGCCTCCATCCTGTGGTATTCCTGGTGTTGGGAATTCCGAGCCCAAGGCATTGGGGGATGTTCTCCAGCTCTGCCTCTCTACCCCAGGGAAAAGAATTCCTGGTTTTTCCCAGCCTGGTGACACAAAAGGAGCTGGGACAGCTCACAGAGGCCTTCGTGGCTGAACCTTCTGGGGACACCCGGGAGGTTCTTCCCGGTCCATCCCCAGCCTTTGTCCGTGCCGAATATCCCAGAAAATCCTGCAATTCCCAATGTCCTGCTCCTCACAGAGCTCCAGCCCGAGCTGCAGTTTGATTTTGCTCAGGAATGGGTGCCTTGTTGGCAGGAAAACCGACTCGAAATAATAAATATTTCAGTAATAGGGGGGAAATAATGAAGTAATTTTAATGCATATTTGTTTATTTGTATGAAACAGATGTCGATATAAAAATATGTATTTGTAAGTTTGTTATTTTTAGATAAAATATGCTGTTATATAAACATGCATGCATTTGTATAAAATCTATATAAAATAAACATTTATATAAAATATATGCTTTCTATAAAAACAGATATTTATATACACAATTTACATCTATTTTTTCGGTTGGTCACAACTCCGGGTTTGTGTCAGGGAAGTGGGAGGTGGAACTGGAAACCAGTCGGGATCAGAGAGTTGGGGCTGGATTTGGGATTGGGATCATGGAACGTTCCCAGTTCCAAATCCCACCAGAGCAAAAGCACAAACACGAATATCCCCCCCCGTGGGTTCCCTGATCACACTCGTGTCTCACAGGCACATTGTGTGGATTTAGAGCTGCCAGTTAGATACAATTTAAATATTAATATTACTTTATTGAACACATTAATACAATATATTACTATTTTATGTATTTTATATTATATATTTTATATAATACATATTATTTATATAATATATATAATGTATATAATGTATTAAATACACTCTATTATATATGGTATATTATACACACTAGATTGCATTATATTAATTAGGTAATATTAATTACATTATATTTATTATGCTATATTATTTTCTAACACCTTTTTATCCCTGGAAAGACTCAAGGCCACGTTGGAGCAACCTGGGATAGTGGAAAGCTGAAATGGGAAGAAGCTTTAAAGGTCCCTTCCAGCCCAAACCACTCCAATAATTCTATAATTCCATATACAAACATTAATATTTACATATAAATAAGTGCTTAATCATTATTTTATATTGAAACATCAGTCCACATTTTTATAAATATATTTATTTATAGCCATACTGATAATTTAATGCCATGCAAATGTATCATAATTTTGCCCACAAACGCCGTGTTTGTTCCCATAAAACTTCATATTTTCAGCACGGGAGAACATTAAAACCATGGAATTTTGTGCCTGATAAGGGTGAACATGTGGGAATCACATGCAAACGCTCACAGAAATCCCTAAATTAGTATAAATATATTAAATTTCTGTAGCTTCTGCTTCCAGGGGCAGCGAGGAGGGATAACAGGCGGACCCCCCAGCGCTGCCAGCGGGGGGATTTTTCCCGGAAAACAGCGAATTTCCGCACAAATTCCATTTTTAGCGATTTTTTTTCCCTTTTTTTTCCGCGCTGTTTCAAACCCCGACGATCCCGTTTTCATTCCCGGCTCTGGATCCGGAGCCTCGATCGGTGCCAGCCGGGAATTGATGATCCAACCGAGGGATCAAACACCGGGAAAAGAAACGGCGGGGCCGGGATTTTATCCCGGCGGGAACTCCGAGTCCCGGCGCTTTTGTTTCCCGCTGCATTCCCAAGGAGTTTTTCCTTCGAATTTCCAGGACTTCCCTTCGCGTTTCGAGGAGGAAATCACGATAAAAATCGACGATGTTTTGGCTCGGCTCAAAGAGACGCGAAAACTTCGTGGTTTTGTGTTTTTGTGTTTTTTGGTTTTGGTTTTTTTTTTTGTCGCCGCCGGATGAAAATTCCAAGCTTTTACAAATAAATGGAGTGGCCTTTTTG